CCTGGGTCCCCCCGGTGCTGGTGGGAGCGGGTCCTTGGGGGAGGGGGGGAGCGCCTGCCCTGAACTCGGCGGTGCGAGCTGTGCTTCGCCTTCTAGGCCGAAGGAGATACCAAGGGCGATAAGGCCAAAGTTAAGGATGAGGTAAGAAGTTCAATATTTTGACAAAGTTGGGTCGTTAAGTGTTTGCGTTGGAAGAGGGAGGCTTAACTTTATTAAAATAAAGAAGGGGGGGAGTGGTCTTAATTGATCATGGCTTTTCAAAGTATTCACTGTCTTTTAACCACCATGAAAAATCTACTCGACTCCTGTTAGCTATAAGTAGTGATTTAAACGGGATCTTCTTATGTTTCTTAAGAATGGGGGGGAAAAAGGGAACTAAAAACTTAAATCGTTAGTTCTGGGATTTTACAACTTTGCAATGCGAGTTACTTTACGAGTTTTTGAGCGTTCATATTCCATCCCATTAAATTTGATCTTTTATTATTTTTGAACAGCCACAACGGAGATCGGCGAGGTTATCTGCTGTGAGTATTCTGTCGTTGAGCAGAGATGTCACCACACTCAGTTTTAAGCTGGAGTAGTGGGTACCGCATCTGTGTGAGAGCCGTAGGTATTCTGGAGAGACGCGTTGTTCAGGTGGAAGAAAGTTACTGGCTTAACGAACTGGCCCATTGTGTGGTGCTATGGGAGTGGTAGAATAATTGACAACCCAAGTAAGTGCTGCAGTTTCAAATATTTTGATTTGCTTTCATAAAACTAAACCATTGGGGTTGAATGTTTTTAAAATAGGAATAAGTTTGTCTTAAAGTAATTTGAGTAACACCAGGGATTTTTCTCACTTGCAGAAGCCTGCTCCTCCCAAGCCAGAGCCTAAACCGAAAAAAGCAGCTCCAAAGGTGAGTCGTCGTGTCAGTGCTGTTACTGAGATGTAAATGGGTTCTGAGAGATTTGTCCAGTAATAACCAATAAAACTTCAAATAACAGCGTGTGTGGCGATGACATGGAGCTGCATCCTTACTGCTGTGAAGTTGCACTGAAAACTTCTGAGCTGTACTAAATTTGCATTAAAAATACTGAAGTGAAGACTCCTCATAGTTGTTGTCGATCTCTTTAACGACGCGAACATTTGTGTGTTGCGTTCTTCTTGGGCCAACATCCACCCTTGGCTTTTGCCATTCTAGTTTTTGGGTTCTCGTGGCCTAATGACTGGAGGTTGGTAATCATAATGGCGCACGTCGTTTTACCTTTGCAGAAGAGCGAGAAGTTGCCCAAGGGAAAGAAGGGGAAGGCTGATGCTGGCAAGGAGGGAAACAACCCTGCAGAAAATGGAGATGCCAAAACAGACCAGGTATGGCGGTGGGTCTGGGCGCTTGTCTTACATCAGCGAATTCCCATTAACATATCGAGCATGGACAGGGCTAGGCTTGCGCTAATGAAGAGGGGTTATTGCTTGATTATTTAGACCTGTTGCTTGTGACACTAGCAACGTATGAACGGGCGTTGGGGGGAGGGGTGTTGCATGCTTGGTGAAGAGCTAAAGTTGCCTGTTGGCAAGCTGAAGTTGCCCCGGGAAAGTTACTGCTCTGCCTTGTTCTGAAAATGCATAAGGTTTGCACGGAATAGAGCAACTTCAGGTTGTCTTTTACGGTACCTCAAATGTTCGATTTTGTTTTGTTAAAAATTACACTGGTGCAGCCCAGATAAGATTTCTTCTGTTCAGAGAACTGCTGTTCAGAAAAAAACGAGTTTTATCGGTTGTTTGGCGCGAGTGCACGGTGTGTATTGACTGGTTCCCCTTTTTCTTGTAGGCACAGAAAGCTGAAGGTGCTGGTGAAGCCAAGTAAAATGTGTGAATTTTTGATAACTGTGTACTTCTGGTGACTGTACAGTTTGAAATACTATTTTTTATCAAGTTTTATAACAATGCAGAATTTTGGTTTACTTTTTTTTAAGCTATGTTGTTAGCACACAGACCGCTTCGTTGTTGTGTTG